CACACACACACACACACACACACACACACACACACACACACACACACACACACACACACACACACGGCATGCATCTTTTATTGGGCTAAGCAGCTCTGCTTTCAACACTGCGAAGCGCACAGTCGAAGAACCATAGATGAGTGCGCACTCATTTGTTTGATCAGACGGGCTGATCTGCTCGCTGACTGCGCTGTTTAACTTCAACTTTGAAAGCAGGAATAAATAGAACATACGGTTGAAGTTAAACTTATCTGCAAACTTGTTTGAACTAAAACTGCCAAGCACATTCCAGTGAACAAACAGCTGATAATTAAGTCATTTTACATCTTCTTACAATCCCCCCACACAACCAAGGATGAGTAATATACGAGTAAAATTACTAATCTTAAGCAACTTCTAAAAAATAAATGCAACCTAAATGAAACATACCATAAAATAACTACTTACTTCCCATCATCTCCTCACATCGCTTTATCCAAACTTCAAATGATGTGTCAGACGCTGAATAGAAAACAGATGTTACATTTATTTGGCCTCACCACACTTATATTCCAGTTATCTGAAATAGTTTTATGACAGGACTACGTGCAGCTCCTGTCACACTATAACGTTTTAGACAACTTCTGCCAACTTAGAATTGTTTTTATTTCTAAATGACTAATTTTACTTGAATTACTGGTTATAACATCCTGGTTATAACATCCACTTTATTTTGATATTGTTGAAAATTTGAGAAATGTTTTTGTTTGTTGTTGTAACGCTTTTACAATATATATAAAACATTCTTCTGTACTTCTGTTATGTTCATTTGCACTACAGCAAAAATACTGGCTTTGATTATGAGTTTTCTGCAAAATAAATTCTCTAAAAATTACATTATCTTTGCTTTTTATGATAATTTTATACCGCGATATATTCTGTTACTGTGAAGGGATTCAATTTATACTGTGACATGAATTTGAGGTCATACTGCCCAGCCTTAATACTTGGTATAACATTCCTCTAGCTAATAAACAGAAACACATCATTGTATCTCATGAGTGAAGTAAAGCAGACAGGAAACTGCTGGAAACAGAGGCTGGTCCATAGCAGGATTATAAAATCTACGCTTGAAGTCAAAGCATGTTGTACTCACCATCCAGTTGATGTCCCTGTGAAAAGGCTGCGTGTGATGACTCATAGTTTTTCAGGTGGTACTCTGCTATTCTGCATTTAGTCAGGAAAAACACAACACACATGGTTTTGTCACAGTTTGAAAAGTCAAAGTGACAGCTTTAAAAAAAAAACTTTTGTCATGCAGCTCATTAAAACAAACTCCCATGATACGCTTAGAGATTTATCAAAGTATCAGAAAGAGATTTATGAATAAACATGTGAAATTGTCAACATACCATTTTATTTTAACTTTTAAACTGTTTTAGGTGGTAATTCTCAAAGTTTTTTCATTTAAAAACAAAACAACATAAATTCAACATACAACAAAACACAAATTAAACGAAAGGTAGCAGAAGAAAGAATCTTATGATTTCTGCCCCTTTTTCACAAATAGACAAAAT